ATTTGGTGTACAAAGCAAATGAAAGTGGAGAGATGGGATTTCTTTCGTTGAGGAGGAGATAATGTATGAACTACTTTAGTAGCTGAACACTTAAGTCTAAGCTAATGAAAATTTTAAAAGTGAAGAAAGCATCTACTGCTCAGAAAGGAATGTCTTTGCTGTCATGGTTTTTTGCCTGTAAAACTATACGCACCACAACACACAATGTTCTGTTGCTGAAGAGACTTATTCTTACACGTTTGAAATAACTAGTTATTTAGAATAAACATATGTTATTAAAATTTCAGTTTCCTGTGATATCACTTTCAACTTAAACTTTACTGAAATCTGTTAAAACAGAGAGAATTGGGGGCTCTTTAAGTGGACATGACTATGTAAGGCTTCAGTTTGTCCTTTTGTAATTTGAAGGACTTTGGCAATAATTACGTTGCAGTAAAAGAGCCGATGTAGGAGGCTGAAATCTGAGCTACTTTATTTTTGTCATATTTAAAGTGCATATAAAAATAGACTTCATTAGTAATTGAAAACCAGAATATCTGTTTAAGTGTAACACCACTGTCACAACTTTCTTAAGGGGCAAGGCAAATAATTTGAAGTGGTGGAATGAACTTCTGTGGCAGCATTAAGGGGGAGGTGGTCTTGAAACCACTTGTATGTCCCTTCTCAGTTTCAGGTATGTTTATGCTTTGGAGCTTCTCTCCTTCCCTCACTTTACCTGTTAATGCTGAATAATTCAAACTAGAATTGATTGGCTTTTGAAGGTGAGGAGTTGAAAACTGGTTGAATTTTGTGGAAGTCCCAGCAAGCAAAACACCACGCACAAAACTGTTTGCAGTTAAAATCTCTGTGTATCTGATTCCTTTCATGGAGGCTGTTGCATTCCACTCATTCATCCTAATTCTGCACTGAATCCTTCAGTCCTGTGTTAGTGTGAATCCTGTCCCACAGAAGGAGGGCCACAGTGTCACTGTTTAAGAACAAAAATGCTCGATCCACCTTATTATTTTCAATTGCTTCTTCCTGCTGTGGTTGGTCAGTAGAAGCATTATAAACATTCTGCACTTGGATCTGTTATTTAGCTAGATAGAAAGTTTTATTAGGTAATTATCTCCCACATGAAAGTCAGTCCGCTTGGCTTCCTCACAAGTTGTTAGTTTTCATTTAACCCAAATGATGCTCAGTTCTTGACTGACTAATGCTGCCCCCAATATTGTGTTTGATTACAATGCAGGATTTGCACTTAGATTCTGTCTTTTGAAAGAAAGTTCAGGCTTGCTTGTTCTTGCAGTTAGTTATAACAAATTCTGGCAAGTTTAGGGATCTGAAAAGCCTGTCAAATGTTGGCCTTAAGGTCTAGTGTCCCTGAAGTTGGATGTAATTTGCAGATAATAAATTGCTTCAGTAAGATTTTATTTCTTAGCTTAATTACATAAGTCTTTTGGGAGTTAAGCTAATGTGAAATTAAGGGTCATGGGACCACCACAAACCTTTAGAGGTTGTGGTGATAAAATACAGCTGTTTCTCCTCAAAAACAACCTCTCAATGTGTTGTTCTTACCACTGCTCATCTTAGTGATTGCAGTGACATTGTGTGTCTTAAAAAAAAACAAAAAAAAACCCCCCAAAAAACCCCATTGGATTAGTTGCATTAAACCCTGACATGAATTGGATAATTAAAGACCAGTCCGATTCCCTGACTAGCCTGATTGCATACATTACAATGTCATCTGCAGATGTCCTGGATGCCCAGGCTTTGTCTAAAATGGCCTTGAATTGCTGGGCGGGAATCGTGAGCCTCTCTAGGGGAGCACCTGCAGCTGGAGATCAGACAGCCTTCAACTAAGACTCTACTAAGTCTCAAACTGGAAGGGAGGGTAAGGCTGTGGAGAAGAGCATTGGGATTTACAAAGGTGGGAAATTAAGATGAAGTTTTAGGATCTTCACGTACGGGGGTGACTCAGTGTAGACTGGTTGAAGACGACATGTGTGGGAAGTAGTAAGAATCAACTTGCATTGGAATTTGTGCTAAAGTAGAAAACAAGCAGCAATGCTTAGATATTTGTGGAAGGTTTTTTGCTTTCTAAGCAGATTTGTAGAGTTGCTACATTTTGGCTTTGGTGGGTGAAGGTGTTTCTTTTGAAATACTTACGTCTTATTCCTGTTTTTTTAACTAAAGCTTATTAATTGATAATGTACTCTGTTGCTGTCTTTAAATGACCAAATACAATTATTTTTTTTAAGCATTCGTTTTAAAAATACCATATAGCTATTAATAATGCTATCTCATCTAATCATAGAATCATAGATTGGGTTGGGTTGGAAGGGACCTCAAAGATCATCTAGTTCCAACCCCCCTGCTATGGGCAGGGACCCCCTCCACTAAACCACGTTGCCCAAAGCCCCATCCAGCCTGGCCTTGAACACTGCCAGGGAGGGGACATCCACAACCTCTCTGGGCAACCTGTTCCAGGGCCTCACCACCCTCACAGTAAAGAATTTCTTTCTAACATCTAAACATCTGTCAGTTTAAAGCCATTACCCCTTGTCCTGTCAGCACATGCCCCTGTAAACAGTCCCTCACCATCTTTCCTGTAGGCCCCCTTCAGGTACTGGAAGGCTGCAATTAGATCTCCCTGGAGCCTTCTCTTCTCCAGGCTGAACAATCCCAACTCTCTCAGCCTGTCCTCATAGGAGAGGTGCTCCAGCCCTCTGATTAACTTCGTGGCCCTGCTCTGGACTCACACCAACAGCTCCATATCCTCCTTCTTACGTTGAGGCCCCCAGAGCTGGATGCAGTACTCCAGGTGGGGTCTCATGAGAGCAGAGTAGAGGGGCAGGATCACCTCCGTCAAACTTAGAATTTTGCTTTGGTTTATAATTTTCCTTAATAATTTATAACTGAAATTATAAATAACATAAGGAAAGAGTTGTTTGTTCCTATACAGAATAACCCATGTGCTACGAAGCAAAAGAAACATAGACTATACAATGCACAGAATGTTTCAACTATCTTTTAAAGCCAGATCTTCAGCCCTGGCTGAATATGCATAGCATAGATGCTTTTCGTAGGAGTCTAGTACAAAAAAGAACTGTATCATCTGGCTTCCAGGCATTTGTTTTCTAGATACAGTTCTGCATATTTTTAGAATGTTCCACTTAGGTAATGCCACTCAGAAAGAGGATTTGTACATCAGTGAACATTACAAGCATTTAAGACATGGATTATACATCTGTCATTTTAAAATAATAATAGTATGCTTTTAGATGCTCATATAGTGTATGACCCTTTGTATAGTGGCCTGGATAGTACCCTCAGAGAAAAAGATCTGCAAAATCCTTCCTTACCATTAAAAGCAAGAGGAAAGACCTGCTTTCAGATACACAAGCACTGATTTCTTCATGGCTGGTAAAAATGCTGCACATAAACCTGAAGACAGTATCAATACCTACTATCATTCTGGACCTCCAAATACTTAACTTGCCTGCCATCTAATAGCTGTAGCTAGGAGACGGTTTTACCAGAAACTTTTTAGCGACAGTTGTGTTTGCTACTCCATGGCCAAGAGATGGACTTGTTTCTGGTTAGAGCCCTCTGCCAGTTCTTCAGGTGATGGTGCATGGATTGTGTTGCTCTCATTACGTGATGGTGCAGTTCAAAACTGCACACAGCACCTTACAAATTTCTGCATCAAAATGCCATAAGACTTTACTGATCTCTTTATCTCTTCTCCTTCCCTCGTCCTCTACAAGCATGAAAACACATTTGCATGAACAGGCTTTTAAATTCCTTTAAGGCAATTGCTAGTATATGATAAGGAGTGCTTTCACAACAAAGTCCTTAAAAATAAATAATCCTGTAAAGAAGAAAAATAAATAGGGGGATAACTGCTTTGGCAGACAGTAATAAAGATGTACATGCAGTGACAATTATTTTGCACAGTCATTCCTCAAGATACCCCTAACAGTTATGGGTCAAAGTCTTCTATACATCTGCACTGCTGTCCAAAAAACATCAACAACCTAAAGGGACCACCCAGTCTGTGTTACATTTGTTGCCTGTGTGTACTGTAGGACGGCACTTCTGGTCCCTTTCAAAATACCAAGATTTTCCAAATTTCTAAGGACTTTCCTCCTCACATCATGCATCTTTTTGTACAGGAATGCTGTGATTACTACAAGTACCCCTTGCTACTGATAAATACAAATGATTATTAATACACAAATACTGGTGCGTTTTTCATCCCATGTGCAGTATTTTTACCACTTGTTAGTTGTAAGAAATCCCACAAAGCTATTTGAGTAATGGAGTTTTGTTTGTAACTGGCTTAATGCTTGCTTGCTAGATTTTTCTAGGGACAAATTGAGGAAATGGGGGAGGGGGGTTGCAATAGGGCTGTCTTTAGCTTTGTAAGACAAGAAAAATGAAGGGATGCAAAATGGAAAGCAGCATTTTGTTCTGAGTCTTTTGCCCTATCGTACTTTTTAATTATAGGTTATTACTTAAAGTGAAGCACATTTCCTTCTGGAGATGCTTTGAGAAATCACTATAATTCTGATTTTGTCATCCAGGAGCAAACAAAATTTAGATTTCAAAAAGGACAAGCAAAGAGGATTGCTAACTTTAATCAAAATTGCAGAGCGGATAACGTTACAACATCCAAGTTACTGCATCCCATGCTACAGAATGAGTAGATTGCTTCTGAGGCAGAAGTGTTAACGTTTTCAAGCACAACATTTTACAGTGAGCAGTGTGCATTTTAGGACAATTTTTCCATGCTGCACGTGATAGTGGGCTACCATTTCAAAAGTGTGTAGGCCAGATGGCTTTTAAGTTCCGTGAAATGCTCAGGATCCAGACATAAAGAGGGGAGACTTTTGAAAGCTGACGTTAGACTTCCGAGGCACTTACAGCTACGAGGTCAGATGTTAAGTGTATTTTAGACAAATAAATGCCCTACAATGTTTTTGTAACGCAGTCCTGTTGGTTTGCTCTCTTTTTAGAGTTTCTTTGCAAGGAATGCCCAAGAGTTCATATTTTCATTGATCGAATTGAACTGAAGGACATTCCAGAAGAGCAGATGTATATGAGAAGGTGGCTTCACGAACGCTTTGAAATAAAGGATAAGTGAGTAACAACGTGTTACTTTCTGTTTAAAGAAGCTGTCAACTTTTGTATGAACAGATATACCCATGATTTCTGTGTTATCAGCAGTGCAAGCTGTAGGGCTCTCTGAAGAGAGGTGGTGTTAGTACTCCTGTGCATATTCTGTAAAATACCCTTGTGGTTAAAGCTTTTGCTCAGGAGGTTGGGATTCCTGGGTTTTAGACCTTCCTTAGACTGAAGAGCTGTGAATCCATGTTTGAGGCAAGACTCATGTTCATCTGAGTACTCTCCGTTTATCTTCTTGAAGCTGAGTCATGCACAGCCAGGAACGTAAAATGCCCGAGGTAAGCAAGCAAGCAAGCAAGCAAAAGGAGCTTGATTCTAGGCTCGTAGTTAGAGTTAGGGTTAGAAGGGGGCAGGTCTTGATCTAATCTCTTCTGCCAAAATTGTTTATGCATATTTCATCAGACAGTGACTGGATAAAACCACAAGTAACCCTGAGATCCCTACCTTCACTGGGGAAATTAGGTGAAGAAGTTTTAGCTGTCCATCTTTGAATCATGGCAGAACTAGAGTCCCTGGCTCTCTCCAACGTTTCCAGCATAAGGTCACTCGTGAGCACGTGCAACAGTGCATAAGGTCCTGGGGGGACCTTGTGCCTAAATGTGAGATTTAAGTATTGATTGAGAGAAGATGGTTTAATTTGTCATGTCTGAAGTCCAACTGAAGGGAGCTAAATCTGCTTACTTTCTAAATCCCAGAATACATTTGTGAGAGTTAGAAATTTCTCTGTTTCTTCAGGTATGTTCTGCTTTAAAATTGTTCTGCCAGTCTCAATGCTCTATGGAAGTAAAAAACAGGTTAATTTGTCCTGTGATTTTTGAATCCATGTAAAAGTTAATGTGCCTGTCTGTAAACATGGCACTATTACCAAAGTGCCTTAGAAGTTTAGGATCGCTAAGTTATTTTTCTTTTCTTCGCTTTTTAGAGGCAAGAAAGTCTGAATTTCATTTTATAGACAAGTAACTGATAAAGTAAAAGGCCGTCCAGTGGCTCACAAGTAGTCTTCTGGTAAAGACCAGCAAAAGTGAACATCTATGTGATCATCTATGTCTCGTTGTAGACTCCTGTTGACTGGAACATCCTTCCTGGGACCTAAGCAGTCTGTCAGGCGAATTTAGAGATGCTTAAAACAAAACCCCAGAATTTTTGAATCAATTTATTACTGGTTTTCAAAAATAGAAGAAAAAAATTACTACTAAACCTATGGTGTAGCATTTTACTCTTGCATGTTTGTTAGTTTCATGAAGATAACTCCCCCCACCTTCAGTGTTCAGTGATTAACTCTGTGCTATTTTGTCCTACGATGTTGCCCAGCACTCTGGACTTTTTTGCTAAATGCTGAATGAAAAGGATTCTTCTCAACTTTTATATTCTGTGTTAAAATTGGTCCCTCTGGAAAATCTGCTTTTATTGCTCACAAGGGTTCAGGTTGAGTACTCTGACGTGCAACATTACTTTGACTGTATCGTATTAAGGCATACTGGTTGCTTAAACTTATTACAGTTGAGCTGCTTCATATTGTTAAATCATTTGTAAAATAATGTGTGATTAGAAGCAGTTATTGGATAAAAGTAAGTTGCTTTAAACTTCTTACGCTAATGCATAACTTTGACCATCTCCTTTTGTCTGCTTCTAGGTTACTAATAGAGTTTTATGACGCGAAGGATTCTAAAAGAAGAAATAAGTTCCCTGGAAAAAGTGTTCATTCCAAACTGAGCCTCAAGAAAACCTTGCCATCTTTGCTGTTTTTAGGTGGCCTGACTGCTAGTATGCTTCTGACAGAATCTGGAAGGAAACTTTATGTAAAAACATGGATATACGGGACTTTAATTGGCTGCCTGTGGGTTAGCATTAAACCATAAGCAGGTGTTAGTCTCCAATCAGTGAAATGTGCAGTCTTTTCTTGCACATTGCACCAAACTTTTTCCTGACTTTATAGTAAAAAAAAAAAAAAAAGTGTAAATAAAGCCTTATTGATCAAACATTGGAAATAATAGAATTTGTGACTTAAGCCTCTGTGTGGTTGGTCTGGGGAAAATAAATGTAGATTTTCAAATTTGCTACTGATTTTTGCTGGAATAATGACAGATAAAGTGACTCATGATAAATTGCTTTCCCCCTGAACTAACATCCATCTCTATCTGCAGATTTGATGAAGTATGAGTTATGGATAAGGGGTGTCTTAAATGGACCTATGAATGTATTTACAGAGATTAATTTAGGGTATATATTTATTCTTCTGATATTCATGTGGAATTTTTGTTACTCTCTGGTGCATTGCAGCAGTTCAGCTGCATCTTTCCCAGCTGCATCACAACTAAAATCAAAACTTTTTTCCTTTTTTTTTTTTAATTTTGCTTTTCAGTTTTACTTAAATACCGTGTTCTTTAAAAGGGACTATGTAAGCTGGCAAATCATGAGATGTTACCTGAAGCAGAACAAAATGTTCCTGAGAACTACTGTTCATGGGGAAGAAGCTGTTTATCTAGTGCATGATTTTTTATTATATTGCAGTATTAGCTGATTATTTTACATATGCAAAACATTCAGTTTTACTGAGGAAACAGCTTATTTTGCACACCCTGTATTTGTGCATAAGAGGAATGTATGCAGTATAATGAAACGTTAAGTTTTTGTTTCTGGCCTAACCAGACTGTAGCCTACCTTGTGTCTCTGTTACCCCTAGCACCTCGAGAGTTTCAGCTGAGCTCACAGACCTTTCGTGTGTACGTGCCATAAGCAGAAGTTTCCTGTTACCTCACAACTTTCTGGAAGCAAAGTCTGTTGATTGGGTAATGCAGAGAATTACTGTAACTTCAGGAGAGTAAGGGTATGGTAACGAGGAGCCTTCAGGTGTTCCTGCTAAATCTGAAGCATGTGCCTTTTCCTACTAATCTGATTTAGCCTGATGTTTCGTAATCTGGCAGTCATCTCTGTGCTGTAATACCACACTAGAGTCTCAAATCATTCTAGGCGGTGCAGGCTGCAGTGGGATTGAAGTTACAGGGTTGATGTATACGACTTGCACAATAGACGAGTAGTGAAAGAAATGCATATCCTATTGGTATTTCACCTGCTTGAAAATATACTCTAAAAAGCAAAATCAACAAACCCGTGCTACCGGAAAGTCTGCGATTCCCTTGACTGGTATTTTTGTTGGGAAAACGCCATTTCCTGATATCAAGGGAATAGTCTGTACGTACAGCGATCGGGTAGGAAAGAGGATGTATTTTATCTTCCGTTAGGGAATCAGACTCCCTGTATCAAAATGAAAGAACTAGAGAATATTTTTATATCACACTTGCAGGCTTTAAATGTGCATCTCTTTAGCTTCAGCACGATTTGTCTTGCATTAGAGTCCGTCTTGAGTTAAATGTCTCTTAAAATTGTAACTCAGTTTTTCAGATTCCACCATTGCCATTTAATTGAAGATACTGCTTTTACTGTGTGGGTTTTGTTGGTTTTTTTACAGTATTTTATAGAGTAATTACAGTTCCACCTTAAAATCATTCGGTACAACTTTCAGTTTGCAGTTCTGTGTCTTTCCATAATGGATTTTGTCACTGGAGTTATTTATATCAGTGATTGATTCAGGATATGTTGATGAACCATTTTAAAAACAATGACTGGGAACAATGTTGAAAAACAGTATTGTTATGAGGCTGTGAAACCAGGAAAAAAAAAAGCTATTTTATGTAACAGCCAAATGTGCTCACATGTAGTTCTTCCTATTCTCAGCTGTTTCCAGCGGGTATAACCAGAAGGCAGTGTTCCTATGTTAGCGTGATTTTTCAATCTTGGAATGAAATTTTACTCTGACATGACTAAATTTCTTTAACAGCTAAGAATAACATTTAATTATACATCAAAAATGAATGCAAACTGCTTAATTCATTTGTAGAAAGATAACTGCTATTTTGGAGAGCCTAATTACCACAAAATACTGGATCTCTCTTGCTGTTTAAGTACCAGGAATATAATTGACGCAGTGTAACAAGCAAACAGGTTGTTTATTTTGAACCTTATTCTCTATGTTAATCTTAATATTTTTTTTGCCATTAATTTATAAAGTTTTGAAACTGTAATTTGCTGATGTATTTGGCGTTGGGAGTATCACATGCTATTTCTAAATATGCACTGATATTAACTTGAAATATTTCTTCATTAAAATAAGAAGAGCCAATGCTCATTCAACTTTTCTGTGCTGTCTACTTATTCAGTTTTTTCTGCACTTTTATGTTTGTAACTTGGTTAACAAGAACTGCTTGCAAAATGGCTTACAAAAAGTGTGGGTTTAAGTCCTTGACAGAAGGATTTGTGTGAGAAGCAGTCAGTGAAAAGAAAACAACTTTGTCTTTTTTTTTTTTCCCCATGCAGCTAAAAAATGTGTTAGAATCAGTTTGTGCTTGTTCCAGTGCGACACACTGCCAGATCAGTCGGATTGCAGTAGCTTTTCACCCGCAAACTCCTGCACCGCTGGTTGCTTGTTAATAATTTTAATTAATGTGCAGTACCACAGTTCTGGCCAGGAGTCGATACACTTTGCGCAGACATCACTGGCAGAGAGCGTGGGCACACCCAGGGGTATTGCAAAGAAACACATGAAATATATCTCAATAGCAAATGCCACCTAAGTTTCAGTGACGTGTTAAATCTGGGAGGAACCTGTATGCTCAAAAACTTATTTTTCCAGCTCTATCTGTGCATCTGATAAAAACAATTTACCTCTTCACAAGTACTGCTCTGTTCATATGCATAAACTATGTGTAAACCTTTTATAGTTGGCAACACCACTGCTACATGCTAGTTTCACAATATTATCGGTTTTACTTCTGTGAAGTAATTGGGCTAGTGAGGAAGCATTATCTTAAATCATGGAGAACACAAAAGTCAAGTGAGACAGAAAATTGAAGCACTGAGTGATGCTACAGTGAAGAAATGACCGAGTAGGACATGTGAGGGGCTCCAGCTTGCTCCGCTCTTTTGGTAACTCCTAACTCCTCTGAAGCGTTTTCTTAGTGTAATACTTGGGTTTTCTCCCTTCAGTGGAACATAGCATACCTGTAAAATTGGGGTTTAGTGCTCAAAAATTGGCCCCGATTACTTTGGCATTTTAGAGTGCATAGAATACATATATATATATATATATAT